GAAGGAAAGTCTACATAGAGGAGGATGATCCTGAACTGTTCAAGCAATATACAAAAAGACCATGAAACTATTTGCTGAGCTAGAAATTAAAAGAGAGAGAAGCCAAAGAAATGCGTGAAAGAAAGTGACAAAGAGAAGAGACTGAAGCTCAAGAGAAAGCCAAGGAGCACTCACATGGCAGCTAACAACTGTCAGTAACTCTAGTTCTAGGGGATCCGACAGCCTCTTCTGTCCTCCGAGGGCAGTGCACCACACGGGTGCCCTTGCCTACAGGCAGGCAATACACACATACACGTAAAATAATAAACATTTTAAAATATAGTAAAATGAAAGAAGCTGGAAAGTGAGCCAGGAGTGGTGGTACATATTTGTAATCGCAGGACTGGAGAGGCTGAGGCAGGAGGATCACAAGCTCAAAGTCAGTCTTGGCTACATAATGAAGTTCTGTCTTAAAAACCAATCAGCCAATAAAACACAAAAAGTACCGTTTTGGAGAAAAGCACGCCTTCTTTTTGCCCTTTGAATTTAAGAAAACACAGACTTTTGTCAATATTATGCATCCTAGAGTCTCTATACAATTTTAAAAAGACAATCTTGGCATGGTAGCGCATGCCCATAATCCCAGAATTTGGGATGCTGAGGCAAGAGGACCGCATGTAGCATGGGCTGTATAGCTAATTCCAGGCCAACAGTCTAGGTTATATAGTGATACTTTCAATAAATAAATTTATTATCAATTAATTTTTTAAAATTGATAAGTAGGGCAGGGCTTGGATACAGCTCAATGGTAAAGTACTTTCCTAGTACAGATGATGTCCTGAATTCAATTTCTAGTATGGGTGGGGGAGTAAAATAAAAAGAAAATAAAACAAAAAGAAATTGAAAAGGAAAAGTTTTTTTCCCTCCCACTTATTATGTCTGCATAAAATGTTATGGGAACCAGGTATGGTGGTGCACACCTTTACTCTCAGCACTCGGGAGGCAAAGGCAAACAGGACGATCTCTATGAGTTCAAGGCCAGCCTGATCTACATAGGGAGGTCCAGGCCAGCTGGGGCTACAGGGAGACCATGTCTCAAAAAGAAAAGAAAAAAAATGTAATGGGAAAGTTATGACATATCTAAAAAGTAATGTGATTTGAAAAGAAGATATTGCTAGGCGTGGTGGTACACGCCTTTAATCCCAGCACTTGGGAGGCAGAGGCAGGCAGATCTCTGTGAGTTCAAGGCCAGCCTGGTCTACATAGTGAGTTCCAGGCCATCTGGGGCTACAGGGAGACCCTGTCTCAAAAAAACCAAAAAAAAAAAAAAAAAAAAAAAAAAAAAGAAGAAGATATTAACTAGATCTACAAGCATATTGTTTTACTCCTTGAATAATTTTGAAACATAACCTAAAGAATTTAGAATCACTTTTATTTAGCACCAAGTTTGCTAAAAATCTCTCTTTAAGGAAAGAAAAAAAGGGAGAAGTCCTCCCAACATTTTTATATTATAGCACTGACAGGTAAGGGCTCTGACCAATGAAAGCAAAGGTCCAAAGTTCAAACAGCAGAGAAAATGACAAGGAAACTATGGGTATTCAATAAATATTGATCAATGGCAATGACAAAGAAGTAAGGTTATTGTGTTTGGAGATAATGGGAAAATACAAAAGATAATATGATGCCTCCTGGAAGGAATTACTGTGACTGAAGCATCATTAAAGAAACCTTGGGTAGATGGTGATTGGGTAGAGCTATTATATGACTATGAGTAGTCATGGAACTAGATAGCATTACAACTAATTGGTCATTTAGACTGTCTTCAAAGTAAGTATCTCCCACTGAAACCTAATAGACTGTGTATTGATCAACAATCGATGAAACTGTTAAAATGATTGGGTTGGCTGTACAGTGGCCTGGTAATTTATTGCCCATAGAAAGAAGACTGGATTACTCTAAATGTCACTATGAAACTCAATTTTGGTAAGAAAAGGAAAAACAATGCAAGCTTGGAAGAAGGGGTAAGTTTCAATGATTTGACTTCAGTGTTAAAGGATTTATTGCAATACAATAATATCTCAGCTAACTAAGGTAAACTGCTAGCACACCAGATTAATCACCACATTTTTTTTTCACTACCAGTCCCTGGTTTTTGAGGCAAAAGAACAAGAAAGAATGAATACAGTATGAACGTTTACAAAGGCAGACTTCATTTAAGGCAGGTTCAGAGTAACAGAAACTCTGAATTCTAAAATCTTTGTATGTATGTGTGCATACGTCTATTCGTGCACATGCACATGTCTATGTGCACATGAAGAGGTCAGAGATCAAAGCTGGGTGTTTTTTTCACACTGCATCTTATTTTTTGAGAAAAGATGTCTCAATGAACATGAAGCTTGTTGACTGGCTAGACTGGCTGGCCAGGAAGCCTGTCTCTACCTCCCAGTGCTGGGATTACAGATGTGTGCCACCAGGCCTTGCTTTTTATGTGTTGTTCAGGATTTGAACTCAGCTCCATACTTGTACACAAGCATTTTAACCACCAAGCCATCTCCTTAGGCCTGAATTCCAAAATCTTAACATATAGTGGATTACTATTATTAGTTTTTGGTCTTTTTGAGACAGGGTCTCCCTGTAGCCACAGCTGGCCTGGAACTTACTATGTAGACCAGGCTAGCCTTGAGCTCACAGAGGTCCACCTGCCTCTGCCTCCTAAGTGCTGGGATTAAAGGTATGCGCCACCATGTCCAGCTATATAGTGAATTATTTACCCTGTTTTAAGTTATCCATAATTGCTTCACAATGTTAGAAGTACCAAAAATAGGACTATCTACCATCTGTGGAGTTTGTTGCTTCTCTATGAAAATGAAGACTTATTGTAAGGTACCTGCTAGTTGGTAGTAAGTTCTTTTCAATATTAAATTCTTTTCATAGTCATTTTGAACATTTTAAAAATATTTCATTTATTTATTTATTCATTCATTCATTCATTTATTTTTTGGTCTTTTTGAGACAAGGTCTCCCTGTACCAGTGGCTGGCCTGGATTTGCTAATGGAGACCAGGCTGGCCTTGAACTCACAGAGATCCGCCTGCCCCTGCCTCCTAAATGCTGGGATTAAAGGTGTGTGCCACCATGCCTGGCTTTATTATTTTTATTTTATGTGTATGCATGTATTGCCTGAGTGTAGGTTAAGTGCACCTGTGTCATGCAATGCCCGCAGAAGACAGAAGAGGCTGGTGGATCTCCTGGAACTGGAATTATGGATAGTTGTTAGCTGCCATGTGGGTGGTGGGATTCGAACCCTGGTCCTTTGCAAGAACAGTCAGTGTTCTTAACTGCCGAGCCATCTCTCCAGCCCCTTGACCATTTTTTATGTGTCTGAGCTAACAGTGCTTTATTTAAGCTCTTATATGTTAAATGTGAAAACATATCCCTAGACATATCAAAAATATATTATCCATCATTAAATTCAAGACTCTTACTCAAGAGCTGGGCATAGTGGTGCCTGTCTATAACAGCACTCAAGATGCTGAGGCAAGAAAGTCATGAATACAAGGCTAGCCTGGACTATATATTTATGCCCTGTCTTAACAAGACTCCCATTCAACAGCGTGATAAGCTGACATTGCAGGTGGGGCATGGAGGCATATGCCTGTAATCCCAGCACTTGGGACACAGAGACAGGAGGATAGTTGTAAGGTCAAAGCCAGCCTGGTCTACATAGAAAGTGCCAAACCAGCCAGAGCTACATAGTGAGACTTTGTTTAAACAAGAGTCAGGGACTTGGGAAGAAGAAGAAGGTGGATCTCTGTGAATTCCAGGCTAGCCAGGGCTACATTTGTGAGACCCTGTCTCACAAAATAAAAACAAACAAACAAACAAACAACAACAAAAGGAAACCAAAGAACCCCAAGAAATTCACAATGCATGTTGGAGACCAACTAAACGATCATCACTCTGGGGCATGCCTTCAGTCATCAATAACTACTTATTTGAATTCTTTTTATCCTCTCATCCACATCCTTGACTTTCCCTGAATATGTATGGTTAAATTCACATAGAGCACACTAAGTGAAATTACGTGGATAACAGAGAAATTATGCTTTTGTATATCCCAATCGTACATTTTTAAAGAATCATGGCCCAAGGTATCAATGATTTAACATAATGTCACATCGAGAATGAATATCACAGAGTTGGAGAGATGGTTCAGCGGTTAAGAGCACTGGCTGCTCTTACAACCATTTGTAACTCCAGTTCCAGGGGATCCTGACGCCCTCTTCTGACCTCTGTGGGCATTGCATGACATAGGTGCACTTACATACATGCAGGTAATATACTCATACACATAAAATAAAATTAATAAACCAGGCATGGTGGCTAACACCTTTAATCCCAGCACTTGGGAGGCAGAGGCAGGCAGATCTCTGAGATGGAGGCCA